GCGGGCGAGGTGCGGGGAATCGGCCCTCCAGGCCCGCGCTCGCTGCGTGACTTTGGGTGACCCTGCCCTTCTCGGCCTTGGTTTCCCCGTTTGCGCAGCGGATGGAATGAAATGAACAACTGTGGGAGCCCATCTTTCTCTTGCGCTCTGAGGTTTCTTGAACCCGGAAAGGTCGGCAGCCTTTCCCTTTCCGCGAGCCATCCTTTGCCCACACCCCGAGTGCGGACTTACCCGGGAGGGGGCGGCGGAGGCTGAGAGCAGTACAGCAGGCCCACCCAGGCGCCGGAGAGACCCTGCTTCCCAAGATGTGTGAAGTTGAAAGAGCCCTGAGGTTGTATGGAGGGAGACTGGGGCAGCCCCCACCCCAGCTCAGGGCTTTTGACTGACCTTGGGGGCCCTAGCCCACCAGGTTGCAGCTCTTATATGATGCGCACACAAGCATTTTGTTCAGGAAACAGTGCATAGCTTTCCTAGGATTTTAGGGCCCATGACCCCAAGAAGGTTAACAGCCACTGATCTAATCTGTCTTCATTCTCACTCCCAGTTTACAGATGAGGAAAACTGAGGCCTAAGAGGATGCTACTTGCTGAATTCCTTCAACTGGTGAGTCAGTGCTGGAACCAGTTTCTGGGTCTTTGCTTTTCACCATTGGGCATTTATGTATCCAATCTTGACTAAACCCTTCTGACAGGTCTTTGCATAGCAGAGACCCATGACTAAGGCAGATCAGTCCCTACTAGAGGAGACTGCTCTCCTGGTTCAGTTTCAGGAATTAAGGTAGGTGAATCCTGATGGAAAAGTAGGAGGTAACTAGACAGTGGGATGCTAGAAAAGATGTTACTAGCTGAAAGAACAGTGTGTGCAAAAGTCCTGAGGCTGGGGGGAACACTGGCCAATAGGGGAACTGCAAGTGTTTCTTGTGACTGGATCACAGGGAGCAGGAGCCTGGGAGAGGAAAGATGCTCCCGTCACCCCAGAGCAAAACATTCTGGCTCAATCTATGTGTCCCACAGTCCCCAGAATTACTTTCACAAACCTGTCACTCCTACTGATTGCGTTCGGTTGTTCACCAAATGGGCACTGACCACCTCCTGTATGTGCAAGGCACTGTGCTCACCTGGGCATAAGATGGTAAAGACCCATGGCTTTGGCCCTCTCTGAAGGAGTCAGACAGTGATTCAAGTCTTACAACCACAATTAATTGGGAAGAAGAAATGGTGTGAAGGAAGCCTATAACTGAAGCCTTAGCTAATCTATGTATTAGAGTAGGCATAAATCAGACAAAGGGAGTTATGGCAGGGGTGGGGGAGATGCCAGGTAGGAGAATTAATTGCCTTGGCATATGGAGAAACTGAAATATTCTTAGTGTTGCTTGAGCAGCGAGAGAGAAAGGGAGAGAAGAGTTTGGGCAGAGCTGGATGGGCCATGGGAGTTTGGATTTTGTTCTGCTTGAGGTAGAAGGCTGCTTAGATTTATACAAAGGAAGGAGAAGGATGCCTGGGAGTGGGTGGTTCAAACTAAGGAGGTGGTAGGCACAAAAGAAGTAGATGGATTTGATAACTATTTAGGATACAACATATCAAAATTTAACTCAAACTGTATTATACACCTAAATATAAATCCTAGGACTATAAAGCCTCTAGAAGAAAGAGAAGGAAAAACCTTAACAATATTGGGTTTGGCAAAGGGAATTTTGTATATGATAAATTCCAGATGAACTCAAGATTTAAATGTAAAAAATGAAAACAAAAATACAGCCAGCAGCTAAGGGAGAAATGTTTTTAGTCATCTCAGTGGGGAAAAGTTTTTTGTAACCCTGACATAAAGCCCAGCAGCCACAAAATTTTATTTTACCACATTAAAAAATCTGTACAGCAAAGTCAAAATGATAAACTGAAGAGAATACTTACAAGTTACATCTTGAAGGGCTATTTCTCCTTATGTGTGAGTCAGGTACCAAAAACAGTGGAGAAATGGGTAAAGACAAAGACAATTCACAGAAAAGAAGACTAACAGCTCTGGAATATATGCAGCAATGCTTAAGCTCACTCAGAAGAAGAAGAAACACAAATTAAACCTTCACTGAGACACCATTTTCTACTTTAGCAAACAAAAAAATCTGGTACCTCACTGGTGAGTTTTCTGGAAAACACATACATGGCTAGAGATTGAGGGGCTGTATAGGGATAGCCCCATTATAGGGACATTTGGCAAAGTTCATTCACTGTCTGGAATAGCAGAAGTCTGGAAACAGCTTAAATATCAATCAATATGAAACAAGATACATTATAGTACCTTTATATAGAGGAATACTATATAGCTCTCAAAAGGAATGTGTGAACGAGGAACCATCTTCAAAATACGTTAATTACACAATAGGATGTATGGAATTCTTCCACTGGATTTTTTAAAAAGGTGGACGGGGTGAGACATATATGCAATTTTGGTGTGGTGTCTTTTTTCTGACACCACCTCTTATACCAAGTATGTGTTTTTTTCCCAGGTACCAAATACTTTCTCAGGTTTGATAATTCAGTAGAAGACTCAGAACTCAGGAAAGTGCTTTACTGGCTGTTACCAGTTTATTAAAAAGGTTACAACTCAGGAGCATTCAAATAGAAGAGATTCATAGGGCAAGAGATTCATAGGGTAGCCAAATAGAAGAGATCCATGTGGGGGAGGGGTGTAGAGCTTCTGTCCTCTCCAGGTGACCCACCCTCCCCAAAAGACTCCAGATCTCCAGTGCCCCGCCTCTGCTTTAGGTGGTGAGGAGGCTGAAAGTTTCTACCCTCTGGATCACTTTTTCTGGTGACTAGCCCCCACCCTGAGTAACCTCATTAGCATAAACTCAGGTGTGATCCAAAGCACATTAGGAATGACAAAAGGCACTCCTATACATTCAGAGGATTTTAGGAGCTCTGTGCCGAGAACCTGGGACAATGACCAAATATATATTTTATTACACCACATTTGGTTATGCATATTTAGAGTCTGTCTCTGGAAGGACATAAATTATTACTTTCATTGTTTCCAAGGGTAGGAGATGACTCTTGGTTCAAAATTCAAAACATACATGTGAATATATTACTTATTTGAAAAACTGTTAAGAAATACTTTGCAGTCCTTTGTCTTGGTTTCTAATGTCCACAATCTCCAAGCATTACCTCCATGCTTGGGAGTGGCATCCAGATTCCTCTGCCTTCTGACCCTTTAGACTTTTCTCCATCTTCTGTTCCAGCCACTCCCCAAACATACCCTCCCCTCTAGCCTTTCTCTGTGCAGCAGTTCCCTCTCCTAATAACATCCACATTCGAGCTCTGTTCTTAAAACATAGTTCTGAACCCTTCTAGGATTAACTCTTTCAAATTTGAGAACACCCTGTTTTAATGTAATACCCATTTTACAGATGAGGCAGTAGAGGAGATTCAGTAACATGCTAAGTCACACAGCAGCCAGGGACTTAAGCTGTCTGGCACCAGAGACCAAGTCTTAATCACTCCTCTAGACTGTCTTTCTAAGAGTAACCTCTTCCCACCCCAGCATGGGCAAACTTGATATTGTTCAGAACCAGTTCAAATGCCAGCTCCTCTGGGGAGTCTTCCCTGCTCCTTAATTAACAAATTTACTTTTTTTTCAGGGGGGGGTTGTATTATAATATTACATTATGTTTGATTGCATAGACCTGGCCCTGCAGGCATTTCTAGGCTGACTATAGAGCCATTTTCCTTTTGAGCTTTTGTGGTCCAGTCGGCTCCAGACCCTCTTCTAAGGACTGCATGTACCTCATCTCACTCTGTTCCATCTTCACTGTGTGGATCTCATCATCCATAGTTGATGTTATAGAGGGGAAACTTAGGCTCAGGATGACTGGTCACCAGTGGGAAGGGGAAGGGCTATTACAGAGCCTGTGCTCACAGGTGTCAACCACTGGTACCTGAACCTGGCAGACCCCCTCTCCCCACAACTCCCTCCCTAGCCCCACCCTGGGTCAAGGACCCAGACTAGGGCCTAAGCACAGTGGGTGTCCTATGGCCATGAGTTTATTAGAGGAGCCAAGTCAGAGTGGGTACAAGTTGCAGGTTGGGAGGAGGGGACTGGGAGCATGGGCAGCACTGCCAGTCTGAGGCCAAGAAGACAGGAGGCCAGGGGACCACAAGCAGTAGAGAGCTGGGTCAGCAGCAAGCGGATGGGCTGTTCACCCTGCGAGCGTCAGCGCCGAGAGCATGGCGGCGGCTTTGAGAGGACTGGGGAAGAAGGACAGAGAGATGCTCAGTGGAAACTTGCCAGGCTCACGTGGCTAGCAGGTTGCAGAGCTGGGACACATGCCCAGGCCTTCTGGACCCCAGGCCTCATGCCCCTCCTTCCCATTCTGTTGGGCCCCACACCTGCCTCCCAGCTTCCCCCAGCTCGTATCCCCAACTCACTGTGAAAGGTGTAGGTGCCTGGCTCCAGTTGCAGCTGGTGGGGCAGGACAATGAGGAAGCCCCCACCCCAGGGGTCTTCAGCCACTGAGAGACTAGCTTGGGAGGGAGGGCAGTGCCCTTCAGGGTTTTGGGAAGGGCACTTGGATACGACAGGCAAGGGGCGGGGGTGGTGGCAGCAGTGGCTGCGGCGAGGGGGCAAGCTGCAGAGGGGACAGTGGGGTGGTGAGAGGCCAGGGCCCCGGGGGAGGGGGACCTGGGCCTTTGGGTAGCTCCTTTGAGCCCTGCCATGGTGGGGGCGCCTCTCCCGTGTCCAGGCCCAGTGGGTTGGCTCCTTGGCCATGACCTGCATGAGAAGAGTGGGTGGTAACTGGGAGGTGGGAGGTCCAGCCCCTTTCCCCAGCCGCAGGATGCTGGTACGGCCTCACCTCCTCGCAGGACTGGCGGCTCACAACCGCCCTGAAGCCCATCCGTGCCCACAGCTTGTCCCTCTGACAAAGGAAGTCTGACACTCGACGACGCCAATCTTTGCCCAGGGCCCATGGAAAAATCACACATTTGGGGTCCTCCACGTCCTCCTCCATGTCATTTGCGAGGTACCTGGCCACAGAGGCCGGGACAGGGAACAGAGGCCATAAGCAACTATCCCACCCCACCCCACAGCTCCCAGCAGTGTCCCCTCCCCCCTGCTCCTGCGCTACTCACAGTGCCAGGAACAAATTGCTGCGGGTGTACTCGCTGAGCTTCAGATTGGCACGCCGGAAGTAGACCAGCACCATGGCCAGGAGATACTGCAGACACAGAAACAGGGAGAGTTAGAGGTAGGCACCGGGGGAGAGGGGGTTGTGCCAGGCCCACCTGCACCCAAGGAAGTGTTGGTAGGGTTAGTAAAATGGTGGGGAGGGGTTTGCAAAGACAAGGGTTTAAAGGGGAGGCGTTCCCTCCACTAGACCAGGGGACCCAATGAATTAGCAGCACTGAAGCCCCACCCACTTTATTCAAACTTCCCCAAGTGATCCTGCCTCTACCTACACTGTACCCCCTCACCTTATCTGAGACCTGGAAACAGGGATCTTTGGAGAGGAATTCCTGGAGGAAACTGTGCTCTGGGGGTAGAGAGGAGAGAGAGTGGACTGGGGTTACCACCCACCCTCCACAAGAAAAGAGCAGCATCAGAAGTTCCTAAACCCAATCCTCCACTGAACCCGCTTTCTGACATGACCCCCCCCCACCTTCCAAACTGGGGGTCACCTGAGAAGGGAAGGGACAGAGACTGCCGGTGATTGCATGGGCAGGTTGAGGTCCTGCCTCACATCTGTTCACACTTGGGCCTCCACAGCCACTCCCCTGCCAGCCCCCAACTGGACTCACCCAGAAGGCTTAGGAAGGCCTGGAGCTCCTGATGCTGGTGGAAACAGAGAGACTCACTGCCCTCACCTTGACGGCTCCAGCCACCCAGCTTCACCTGGGTGCCAACCGCAGCGATTGTGTCAGGACCTTGGGTGTCACTCATCTCATGGGGATGGGTGAGGTGGGATGGGGCAGGGTGACCTGCAGAGAAGGCAGCCCCAGGATTTAGCACCTACCCCACTGGTCCCCCACGAGTCAAGGGGGTCGATGTGGCTGGCCTGACAGATGACCTCCAGAAGATGGAGGAACGGGCACAGAGAACTCAGAACAGAAAGAAACTGAGGTGGGGGGGGTGGCGAGGCCAGAAAAGCAGCAGAATTCCTGGAAGCTGCAGCACCCCACCCCCTCCGCCTGGCACCCCAGACCAGGCCAGAGTAAGAACAGCAGCCACAAGTACCTCTGAGGCTTCCTAAGTGCCTGGAGCTGTGTTAAATACTTTAAGGACATTATCTTATTTCATCCTGGTAGGTAGACCCATTTTGCAAACAGGGAACCTGAAGCACGGAGGTCTCCCGGCCACTTCGAGGTGGAGCCTGTCTGCCCCCAAAGCCAGAGTTTAACTGCTCCTCCTGCCTCCCAACTCACAACCACGCCCTCTCCCCACACCAAAGCGGCAGCGCTGACAGAACCACCAACCACTTACTTCACAGAGGGAAAACTGAGGCCCAGAAAGAGGAATGCTATTAGACAAATACTGGGGTTTAGGGCAAGTTAAGGATGGGCCATCTCAAACATTTTGGGCTATGAAGAGAGAGACTCAACTAAGGGGCCCCCTGCACCACCCCTTGGTCAACCCGGGGGGGGTCCCATCTAGGTTCCCACAAGAAGCCCAGCCTCCTCCCAAGAGAAGTCTTACCTGAGCTCAGGGGTTACACAGCACAACTCCCAGCTCAGCGAGCGAACTTATATAGCCCCAGAGCTGCCCCGCCCCCGCGACCCTCCACCAATCAGACCCCTTCCTGGGAAGGGGTGGGGCTTCTCGCCATCACCACTCACCTTTACATGCGGTAAACCGGGTCAGTCTCCACCACTCGCCTCCCAGCTGCGGCTCCCCAAGGCAAAAAGCTTCTCCAGAGTTTCATCACCTACAAGAGGGGTCTTCACCAGGCTAGCTGGACCCCACGGCCTGCGGGCCTGGAATGCGAGTCAGGCTGCAGCGAGTGGCTGATGGGTAAGTTATAATGCATTGAATGTGTCCTGCTGGGGAAGTGTCGCTGGGTATGTCTATGTTTGTTTCAGAACCAAGAATCCCAAAACCTGGGAACCAGAGAAGAGATTGTCTTGGCGTGAGAATTCCCAGGGGCCACATCCCCTTTTCAAGGTCTTTTAGGGGTACGGGGAGCCACTCCAGTGTCTCCAAGGTCGAGGAGAAAGGCTTTGCCCAGACCACCTAACCGTTCCCCTCTTCCCTCACACACACACACACAGAAGACCTTAAGCCTTTTCCTCTTCACTGGCTCATTCTCTACAATTCTATAGGACAGTCAGCACCTGCATTACTTTCCACATATGACAGATGACTCCCCCCCACCTTTTTTTTTTAATGTGATAAAATATACATAACAGGGAGGGAGGCTATAGCTCAAGTGGTAGAGTGCATGCTTAGCATGCACAAGGTCCTGGGTTCAATCCCCAGTACCTCCATCAAACAAATAAGTAAATAAACCTAATTACCTCCCCCCACGCCCAAAATATGTACATAACATAAAATTTACTGCCTTAACACTTTTGAGTACACATTTTTAAGTATCCACTACACAATAGCTCCCCATTTCTCCTCCTTCAGCCCCTGGCAACCACCATTCTACTTTCTATCTCTATGAATCTGACTACACTATGTCATATAAGTGGAATCATACAGTATTTATCTTTTTGTAGCTGGTTCATGTCACTTAGCACAACATCCTCAGGTTTCATCCATGCTGTAGCATGTCAGGATTTCCTTCTTTTTAAGGGCTGAATAATATTCCATTCCATCTATTTATTTTATATATCTACATAAAATACATTCTGTGTATTTATTTATTCTATCTGTGTCTATATTTTGCTTATCCATTCATCCATCAGTGGATAATTATGTTGTTTCCATATCTTGGCTACTGTGAATCGTGCTGTAAACATGGGTGTACAAATATCTTGAGACTCTGCTTTCAATTCTTTGGGGTGTATACCCAGAAGTGGGATAGCTGGATCATAGGGTAATTCAATTTCTAATTTTTTTAGGGAATGCCAAACTGTTTTCCACTGTGGTTACACCATTTTATATCCCCACACACAGTGCACAAGTGTTCTAATTGCCCCACATCCTGGCCAATACTTGTTATTTTCTGTTTTGTTGATAGTAGCCATCCAAATGAGTGTGAGGTGGTGTCAGGTGGCTTTTCAAATATGTATTTAATAGAAATGGAGGCCCATTTAAGTTGAATAACTTGTGCTCAAAGTCCTGCCAGTGGTGGCAGCAGCTGGGGGCTCAGGTCACATGACAAACACAGTATGGCCCTAGGAAGTAGCCTTTGTGGTTCTTGTGGCCATTTTTCAGATGGAAAACTGAGGTTCAGGGCCCCAACCTCCTGACATGTGAATGAAAGACAGGAAATGTAGGCTGAGCAAGGCGAGTGGTGAGCACCAGGTCAGGCATGCAGCCCAGGTCCCCAGTCACCAGATGCAGGCTTCTCCTGTGACACCACTGCCCTTCCCAGGCTGGACAGCCAGCACCCTTCCCTGCCCTGCTCCCAGCCTCAGGCCTTGGCCCTGGCCACTGCCAGGGTGGACTTTCACTTCTAGGGATGACCCCTCCTTTCCTGTGTCTCTCAGTCTCTCTTGATCTCTGGGTCTCTCTCGTCTGAGTCTTTCTGTTCCTTGGGTCTTGGTTTCCCTGTGTCTCTAACCTCTGTGGGTTTCGTGGTTTCTCTGTGGCCATCTCCCCTGCTCCGCAAGGCTGGCGAGGCCTCCACCAGACCACCCTGCTGTGTGTGTGCGGTTCCCCTTGTGTGTTTGTTATCAGCCTCCCCCAAAGAAGAAGCAGTCTCCACAGCAAGCCCCCAAACATGTTCCTAAAGAGGCTATGATCGAATCATCTCCTTATAACCACCCCATGAAGTGGTGCTACGATTAGTCTCCTTTTACAAGCAGAAATAACTGAAACACAGAGTTCGGGTTGTTTCTGAGAGGGTAAGTAACTTACTGCCAGCCACACAGCGCGAGTGTGGAGAGCTGTGAGTCCGCCTGGCTGCCTGGCCCCAGGCCCCACATTGAAGCACAGGCTGTCTGGTCCAGCCCTGTTTCTGGATGGAGCCTGATGTGGAGAAGCATTTCAGTGAACTGTAAGTGAATCCCCCCAGACCAGCTGTGTATCTGACCTTGCTCCCTCCCCACCGTATGTGGGGCTAGAGATCAGTTAGGGGTACAGAAAAGCCTGACAGCAGATGTATCACCTTAATCCTGGGTGGATTCAGGCCATTCCTTTCAAGGACAGCCTTGGGCAGCTGACATTCTCCATCTCGGGGAATTTTTTTTTAACATTTTTTATAAACGTTTTATTTTGAAAGAACTTAGACTCACACAGATGTTGCTAAAAAGGATGGAAAGTGCCTGTGACTCCTCCACTCAGCTTCCCCCAATGGTAACATCTTACGTAACCATAGTTTAACAAGGAAATAATTAGAACCAGGAAATTGACATTGATATAGCAAAATTACAGAACTTACTCAGATTTCAGTTGTTAAAAGTACTCACTTTTATATATTTTTTTAAATTCGGTGTCTCCTTCTATAAGTTTTATCACATGCAATCTTCGTGTAACAACCACCTCAATCAGGATACAGAGTGATTCCATCACCCTCAAGGAAGCCCCTTATGTTAGCCCTGTAGTCACACCCTCTTCCCCACCTTTGCCCCTGGCAGCCATTAATCTCTTCTCTATAATTGTATCTTGTTAAGAATATTATACAAATGGAATTATACAGTATGTGACCTTCTGAGACTGGCTGTTTCACTCAACATAATGCCCTTGAGCCCCATCCAGGTTGTTGCATGTATCAATAGCTCATTTTTTTATTACCAATTATTTTCATTACCAAGTAATATTCCATAGTGTGGAATGCATTGTTTCCAGTATGGGCTATTACAAATAAAGCTAATGTGACCATTCCTGTACAGGTTTTTATATGGATATAAGTTTTTAATTTCTCTAGAGTCAAAACCTAGGAGAAGTCATATGGTAAATGTATCTTTAACTTCATAAGAGACCGCCAAATTGTCTCCCCTAAAAGATATATTGAAGTCACTTCTTGCCCCCCACTTACCTGGGAATGTAATGTTATTTGGAAGTAGGGTCGTGGCAGATATAATCAAATTGAGTTGAGGTCATACTCTGCTCCATTCAGGTGGGTCCTAATCCAATATGACTGGTGTCCTTAGGAGAAGAAGAGACCCAGAGACAGACACATACAGAGAGAACTAGACACGGACACAGGGAAAGCAGCCACAGGAGGTGCAGGCAGAGATTGGAGGGGCGCAACTGGAAGGCAAGAACCCCAAGGATTGCCAGCCCCACCAGAAGCTAAGAGAGTAAGGAAGGCCCCCTGCTTCCTTGATTTTGGATTTCTAGCCTCCAGAACTGTGAAGGATAACAACAACTTTCTGTTCTTTTAAGCCCCCTGGTTTGTGGTATATGTGGTTTGTTATATGGCAGCCCTAAGACACTCGTATATTTTCCATCCATGCACCTTCTCAGGTGAAGTGTCTGATGAAGTTTGTTGCCTGTTTGTTAACTGGATTATTTGTTTTTCTTACTGTCGAGTTTAGAGAGCTCATACAAGATCTTCCTCAACTTATGATGGGGTTAGGTCCCAATAAAACAGCTGTCTGGGTACAGAGTGGTTGTGAGTGTGTTGACTGTTCCCCCGTGCTGGCTGTGGCCCGCTGCTGCTGCGCAGCATCACGTGAGAGTATCACGGCGCATGTCACCAACCTGGACAAAATTCAGAACTCGGAAGACGGTTTCTACCGAATGCCTATCACTTTGGCACTATCATAAAGTCAAAAAAGCCATTAAGTTGAACCATTGTAAGTTGGGGACCATCTACATATTCTAGACAAAAACCTTTGTCACATACATGATTTACAAATATTTTCTCCCAAACTCTAGCTCATCTTTTCATTGTCTTCACATTATCTTTCACAGAGCAACTCTTTCATCTTGATGACGTACAATTATCAGGTTTTTGGTACGGATTGTGGGAAGAAATTCAAAGGCAGGATTCTTCCATCCCTGAAGGCCCCAAGAAGCCCCAGAGAGCAGACAAAAACCAGAGAGAGGCAGCCAAGGGGAGGCCACTGTAGAAGAAGGAGCCAGAGGCCTGGGGCTTCCAGGCAGCCCTGGCTGGCTGAGTAGGAGGCTAAGTGAGGGCAGAGAGGCCCGGGGGAGGGGAGGAGTAGGAGACGGGAGATGGAGATGAAGACTAGCCCTGAGAGGGCATGGCCAGAGGGTTGCCATAGATCATGGATCCCAGAGGCCCAGGGCAGCCACCCTTCCAGCCTGGTTCTGGGCCTCTTTCCTCTGTACACACTTCCTGATTGGCACCCTAAACTGGAGTGGAATCCTCTATTGCACTGGCTTTAAATCCCTCCAGCCGCTCCAAAGGCTCTCCCAGTCCTGATGCTCCTCCGAATCCACACTTGTACCTCCAGGTGCCTCCACGAACCTGTTCCTTCCTCACTTTCCCCATCTACTGACCAATAGTTGCTCAAAAATAACAAGAAGAAGAAACCAACAGTCGTTGTTTCTAAGTAAACTTTTTACTGCAGGATGGCAGCCATGCCCGTAAGTGCACAGATCAGAAGTGAGCGGCTTGGTGAATTTGCGGTCAGGTGAAGAAAGCATGTCACAGCTGCCCCTCACACCCCCTCCCAGGCTCCAGTCCTCCCCCAAGCCCAAAGTTAGTCACCATTCTGGACTGTGTCATCATAGGTTAGTTGTGTCTGTTTCAGAACTTGGTGTAAACAGAAGCCTGCGGTACGTCTGCTTTGGATACGTCTGTCACGTGCTGCTTCCCCCCCATCGCTCGGTAGCGTTCTCTTAGATGAGTATTTGAAAGTATTTCTACCTTTCTTCTTGCTCCCAATGTCCAATTTATCACTGAATCTTGTGGATTCTGGTTCGAAAATCTCTCCCTAATCCATGTCCACCGCTCCTCCCCACTGTCTCCTCCCCTATCAAGATGGCCGCCTCACCTGCCTGGATCACCATATCACTCCCTAAACAGTCTCCTGACTCCCTGTGCTCTGGGCCCTCTCTAGAGCTGGAATGACCTTTTAAAAACAATCCTCTTAATAAAATGCAAACTTTTAAACTTCGGTACTTATTTGATCACTGTCTGCAATCCATTTGCTTCCTTGTTTACTTATTTCATGTGTCCTTCCCAGCAGGTCAGTGCCTTCAGAACAGGGGTCTCGTCAGCCTTGTCAGTTCCCAGACCCCTAGCCCTGACTCAGAGCCTGCTGTGCAAACATGTTGCTCACATTTAGTGGATGAATAAATGAAGGCCTCTGCTCATCTCTGCAGCTGCATCCCTGGTCCTGCCCCTCCATCACCATCCTCCGGCTTCTTTTAGTTCTGTCAGCCCCATCCCCTACCATCCCTGACCCTCGTGCCACTGGGCCCTTGAACATGCTACCCCCTCCCAACAGGACAAGATGTCCTCCCTTCTGGGAAGATGCTTCTCCCTATGCTGTGTGTGCTTACCCACGTGGCTTGCTTCAGTCAGTAGAATTTGAGCAGCAATGGTTTATGCCACATTCGAGCAGAAGCTTTAAGAGTGCCAAGATGGCTCTGCCCTTGCCATTTTCCATCTGCCCCCGGCCAGGTATTCCCCAGGTAGTGGCAGCCTCTCTAGCCCAGCGTCAGGAATAAAGAAGACATGGAGCAGATCCAAAGCCAAACTGAAAAGGACATGTACTGCGAATAAGAAATGATCTTTTGTTTTTGAAAGCCACTGAGATTTTGGAGTCATGTATTATTGTACAGGATCTCTATTTGCTGCTGTCACAGATTACCACAAACTCGGTGGCTTAAAACAATACAAATCTATTCTCTTATAATTCTGGAGGTCAGAAGTCCAAGTTCGGTCTCAGGCTGCTAAAATCAAGGTGTCAGCAAGATTTCATTCCTTCTGGAGGCTACCTGCATTCCTTGGCTTGTGGCCTCCTTCATCTCCAAAGACAGCAAGCATAGTGTCTTGTGACTCTGACCCTCCTCCACTTTTAAGGACCCTTGTGATTACATTGGGCCCACCTGGATAACTCAGGCTAACCTCCCCATCGCAAGACCCTTAACCTAATCACATCTGCAAAGTCCCTTTTGCCATGTGAGATGTTCATGGGTTCCAGGAATCGGGATGCAGACATCTTTGGGAGGTTGCTATTCTGCCTATCACATTTATCACGGCATAATTTATAGTGCACTAATATACTATTTACAAAATAACATTGCCTGCTGGAGGCACACCTCATTTTATTGCACCTCACGGAGATTGCATTTTTTACAAATTGAATGTGTGTAGCAACCCTGTGTCAAGCAAGTCTATCGGCACCATTTTCCAACAGCATTTGCTCACTTCGTGTCTGTGTGTCACGTTTTGGTAACTCTTGGCAATATTTCAAACTTTTTCATTGTTATATTTGTTATGGTGATCTGTGATTGGTGATTTTTGATGTTACTGTTACAAAAAGATTATGACTCACTGAAGGCTCAGACGATGGTTAGCACTTCTTAGCAATAAAATATTTTTCAATTAAGATTTTTTTTAGACATAATGCTATTGCACACTTAATGGACTACAGTACATGTAAACATAACTTACATGCACTGGAAAACAAAAAAATTCGTGACTTGCTTTATTGTGATGTTCACTTTATTGTGATGGTCTGGATCAGAACACACAGTATTTCTGAGGCATGCCTGTATTTATAAAAGATACATATAAAACATCAGGATATAAAAACTTTGGAAGTACAAGGATAGAAAAAATATCAGGTAAATACTAATAGCTGGAATAGCTGTATTAGTACCAAAAAAAAATAAAATAAATTTCAGGCTAAAAACATTACTAGAGAGAAAGAGGGTGCTTACATAGTAATTTTAAAAAGATATAGCAATTTTTAATTTATTTACTCTTAAAAATAAAGTCAACAATGGAGAGAACCACGGAGGAAAACAGACAAATAACAATCTTATTTGTAGATCTGATGGCACAGACAGGCAAAAAAATTAGCAAGGAAATAAAAGATATGAAGAATATGTTGGGGGACACTTGGTGACAGGCCAGTGACGTGGGTTAGTAAGAATTTACCGAAGGCAAGGGATAGTTTAAGAACAAAGGAAAAGTTTAATAGGTTCACTGCTACAGGAGACAGTGGGCCACACAGGCAAGAGGCAACTGTGTGTTCACCCAGTGTGAACACGCACGGTCTTTTATTGGGGAAGGGGCTGCAAACACAAAGGGACAGAGGAACAGATTTCTGATTGGCTATAAGTGAGGTAAGGGCACCAGCTGGCACTGCAGAATATGGTTAACAAGTTTCACCTAGTGGACAGTATGAAGCACTGCACCTAAATGCAGAAAGGCATATGCAGAACATTTTCCATAAACAGATCAAATTCTGGATCATGTAGCAACTCAACTAATTTCAAAAAGTGCAGATCATTTAGTCTTTTTCTCCCCCCACAGTACAATTAAGTTAAACGTTGCTAACAAACAGCTAAATAGAAAAAAAAATCCTACGTATTTTGAAATTAAGAAACATTTTATGAAATTTCTGGGTCGAGAGAGAAAAAATCACAATGGTAATTAGAAAATGGATTATAGATTTGTGTTGTTTTAGCCTGCAGTCATAATGAACTAGTTGGAGGATTCAGCTAATAATTCTTAGGAAAGTATGACCTCAAATGCACATATTAGAAAATAAAGAAGGATTTGCGCTGATGCGCTAAGCTCTGCCTTTTAAAGTTACAAAGGAAAAGCAGAAAGACTTCCAGAGAGCTGAGGACCAGAGGGCTGCCTATGTCCCCATCTCCCAATGCTTCCTTCCCAAACAAATCGGAACAAGAGTGGGAAATAAAACTGCCAAAACCACAGCCTCAGCATAACTTGAAAGCAGAGACCAGCCAAACTTCAGAATAACTAAATAAAAAGAAAGCACACCAAATCGCGGTGCCATCCTCTTGCGCTGCGACCCCACCATTCCCTGCCACCAGGCTTTGGCCAAAAAAAAACGAGGAAGAGAGAAGAGGGGCGCCGCGGATGAGGGCCCAAGGTGTATCTAGAACCTCCATCAGGAAGACTACATCCTTCCGCTGTCTGAAAATAACGGGAAAATATCCTGGGAGATCAGTTTAGATTCCAGGAAAGGGACTTAAAAGTACATGGGATTTGAAGGGTCTGTCTGCAAAATGCATAAGTTCTCAGAAAGGAATAAAAGGCCAAATGATCGAAAGAGTCCTTGGGCAATTGAGTGATGAAGGGAGAAAAAGCTGAAGGGAAAAATTTAGGGTTTTGCAAAATAAGAGAAATAAAAACATTGGAGGATGCAAACCCCTCCCCCCCACCAAATAAATAAAATCCACCAAAGCATCTGGACTTTGCTATATTGACATAGGCGTGTGCCATAGAGCTAGGGATCTTTTAAACACCCCAATATTACAAAAAGAAAGAAGAAAAAGGTTAATAGATCCATTTGGAACTATTATTAAAACCAAAAAATTATCAGAAAATAAAACCCAACACTTACCAATGAAGAAACTTCCCCCTGGAGAAAAAACAACCATGAATCCAAAGAAACAAAATATCCACAAGGAATTAATCATATATTAGGTCACAAAGAAATGATCAGTAAGTTGAATAAAATGGAAATATTATAAACAATATTCTCTGCATACAATGTAATAAAATGAGATTTTATTAACAAAGACAAAAAAGGAATTAGGTGAAAAACTGGAATACAAAAGTTTAAAAAATAATGATGATGGAAATACTACGTATCAGACTCTATGAGATACATTTAAAGCAATTAGAGGACCATTCATGGCACTAAACACTTTTATCATTAAAAAGAAAAGAATGGCAAGAAATGAATTTAATTCCCAGCTCTAAGAA